GCGGTTAGAGCTTTGGCCACGCGTCATCGAGAGGACGGACCATTGTACCCACGGGACCGATCACCGATGGCCAATTTTTCCTTCCTACTTCGCCAAAGGTGGCACAACAATGTTTTCCCTACCCTATTTATCCGGTCATCAGGTGGGGGGAGCACGTGTTGTCCGCCTCTGTAGCCCCAGCCAACCCAAACGGGTCATCAGAAGAAAGGTGGAGATCACAGCAGTAGCACCCGGCTACCAGCAGCTAGCAACTCACCACCAGCTCCTTCGACAGGTCGGCGTAAGCGTTGGCCCAGCCCTGGCTCAAGTGCTCAAAATCCCTTGTGTCTTCCTTCAGCCAGCGAGCCGCACGGTCTACCTGCGCCAGGCGGGTGGGGCGGCGGCAGCGTTAGAGTCACGCTGCAAGGGCACACCGTAGGTTGCATAAGATGCCACGCGGGGGTGACGCAAGATGAAAATAAAAGCAAGCAGTGGTACCAACTCACAGCCGGCCGCGGTGTGACGTTTCCCCAAGCTCAACAGCCGACATGTTTTTTGAACCGAATAGTCCAGCTCAACAGCTCACAAAACAGCTGACGTGTTATTGGCTCGGACAGCCAGGCGAACCACAACGAACCAAACAAGAAAACAGTACAAACCTGTATACAGCCCCAAATCAAGACGTAGTTCTTCGGTTCAAGGCCAAACCTGATACAACACCCACCCACCTGCGTCTGACCTCTCGCCACGTTCTCCGCCCTCACGGCGGCCTTGGGCTGCAGCAGGAAGGAGGCCTTCTCCACAGCCTTCGCCGCCGCCTTGCGGGCTGTCGCTACTCGCGAGGGTAGAGGGGGCCCGCAGAGTTGATACGGTCCCGCCGGCCAGGTGGTGCGCCGGGGGTCCCGCAGAGTATACCCGGCCGGGAAGGCGGAGGGTAGGTGGTTCGCCGGGTTTCCCGCGGAGTAGATCCGGCCGGGCAGGTGGAGGGCGGGGGGGGGGGGGGGGGGAGAAATTGGAAAATTTGAATTT